AAAAAAGGTCAATTTATTGTACAGCCAGCCCGGATTTAAAGTGTGTCAGTGCAGCCAGGACAGGACAGGAGCTCACTGGACAATTGGGAAAAACATCCCTGGGACAGCACCTCAGGATGTGTCCCACGGGAAAGACACCAGGGGTTAATGTTGGTGATGAATTCCACTCTGTTTGTCACCGTGTTCTCACCCTGGGAGACTCCTCCCTAACTGAAGCTGCAGTCAGCTTGTCAGCCTGGGAATGGAGCTGAGAGTCAGGAGAAATCCAGGCCTGGAGAGAATTCCCAAGCTGGAATTCCCTAACTCTCTAAACGTGTGTGTCCACACCTGGGTGATTCTGAGAGATCCCAGGGGATGCAGGCTGGCTGTGGGGTTGGATGTGGGGTTGGGTTCTGGATGGATCCCCCTGTTTGAACCCGTTCCCGTGAGCGTCTCTGGGTATTAAAATTCCCTGGAACTCTTGTGGTTTCCCTGATTGCAGCTCCGGAGCTCAGGGCCCATTTTTGGGTAATTATTCTGTGATTCACAATTCAAGGTGGATCTCAGATCCCTCCCCCACCTCCGGCTGTCACAGTCCCCCTGAGCCAAAATTCAGGGACTGATGCTCCCATCCAGATGTTGGTACTGGTGCAGATGTGGCCCTGGATAGAGATGGGATTTCTGAGTCCAGATGGGATTTATGGATCCAGATGTGGCCGTGGCTGCAGACACGGTGGATGCAGATGTGGACACAGCTGCAGTTTTGGGCACGGATCCAGATGTGGGCAGGGATGCAGATGTTGCTGTGGATGCGGTTTTGGGCATGGATCCAGATGTGGTTTGTGGCTGCAGATCCAGGTGTGGCTGTGGTGACAGGTGTGGGCATGGATCCAGGTGTGGGCATGGATCCAGATGTTGCAGATGTGGCGCACACAGGTGCAGTTGTGGCCCAGTTGTGCAGTTGCAGATCCAGATGTGGCAGGACACGGGGATGCAGGGACACAGGGACACGGGGAACAGAGGAACGGGATATGGGAATGCAGGGACACTGGGATGTGGGACATGGGAATGCAGGGACTTGAGGATATGGAAACACAGGGACATGGGGACACAGGGACACGGGAACATGGAGAAACAGGGACACGGGGACACTGCAGTCCCCCTCCCTGCTCAGCATCCCGCGCTGCCGGGAATTGCTGACCCGCATCCCAAGGGCCTCTCTGCTCTGCCTCGGCACATTCCCACATTCCGGAGCCTCCGCAGCACCTGCCGGGAATGCGGGCCAGGGAGGGCAGAGGGAGCCGGGACACTGCCCGGGAATGTCGTGGGGAGGCCGTGGGGAGATGGGGCTGCTCCAGGGAACGTGGGGCTGGGGAGGCCACGTGGAGTTTGGGATGCAGGGGAAGGAGTTTGGGATGCAGGGGCAGGAGTTTGGGATGCAGGGCGAGAATTGGGGATGCAGGGGGCAGGAGTTTGGGATGCAGGGCAGGAATTGGGGATTCAGGGGAAGGAGTTTGGGATGCAGGGCAGGAATTGGGGATTCAGGGGAAGGAGTTTGGGATGCAGGGCAGGAATTGGGGATGCAGGGGAAGGAGTTTGGGATGCAGGGCAGGAATTGGGGATGCAGGGGAAGGAGTTTGGGATGCAGGGCAGGAATGCCGTGGCGGGGAGGCCGTGGGAAGCCGGGATGTGCCCGGGCCAGTTCCTGGCTCCGGCTGCGGGTCCCGGCGCGGGTCCCCACGGTTCCCACGGTGGCCCCGGGCTCGTTCCCGCCGGCAGCCGAGTCCCTGCCCACCCCCACAGCCCTGGGATATTTTTATCCGGCTGCTGCTGACTCACGGGCCCGGAGCCGCGGCTGAGCCGGCCCCGGCGCGGGGGGCGGGCGGTGCTGGGATGCTCCGGCGGGACCGCGGCTCCCGGAGCGCCGGGAAGGGCCCCGGGGACCCCCGGGTGCCCCTCGGCTCCTCCCGGATCCGGCAGGAGCTGCTGATGCTGCGGGAACGCCGGGAAAATGCCCCGGCCCCCCACACTGCAGGGCGTTCTGTGCTGGGAATTCCCAGTTGGCCAGTCCTGCCCTGGTCCCAGCACTGATCCCAATCCCAGCCTCATCCCAGCACTGATCCCAATCCCAACCCCAATCTCAGCCTGATCCCAATCCCAGCCTGATGCTTGGAGCATCCACCATGTCCCACTGTATCCCATGGATCCCATCCCATCCCATCCCATCCCATCCCATCCCATCCCATCCCATCCCATCCCATCCCATCCCTGGGATGAATTCCAAGTGTTGCTGCCATGGGGACTTCCCTGACATTCCCTAAAATCCCTGGATTTAATTTGTGTTTGCCTTTCCCCGGGGCCTGATTCCTGCCCTGCTCCCAAGGAATCATTCCAGGGAAAAACCCGGGGGTGCTCCGGGGGGATTGTCCTTAACAGGATGGATAGGATGGAACCATGGGAATTTGGGATGGGATGGGATGAGGATGATGAGGATAATGGTGATGATGAACTCAGCTGCTCCAGTTTTGGGTTAAAATCAATGCCAATAAAATCCATAAATCCCTCCAGCCCCCTGCAGCATTCCCAGGATTTTGGGGATCGCTCCCATCTGTCCCCAGCACGGGGAGGTGGGGGGGGTTCATCCCCCAGGAGCAGGAGGTGTTGGCATTCCCAGATTGGCCTGGATTGGAAAATTAGGGAATAAAGGGAAAAGCAGGAGTATGGTTTTGGGAAAAACTGACCCGGATCCGCCAAAACCAGCAAAAATCCTAAAAAAACCCAAATCCCAACGCTGAACCCTGGCAGCTCCGTGGTGACCGGGGAGGGGTGTCCCCAGGAAGTGATGGTGGCACTGGAGTGGTGGCACTGGGGTGGTGGTGGCACCTTGGGGACACTGGTGCCATCAAGAGTCCCTTCGTCCCCACTGCCACAGGGACACTCTGTGTCCCCATCCCTGTGTCCCCATGTCCCTGGCCCTGTGTCCCGGTGTCCCCCTGTCCTTCCCGGGCAGGGACAGTGTCACTGATGGATCCCAATTCCAGCCTGGGGGGTGACCCCCAACCCCCCCAGCCCCAAATGAGGGTCCTGCTGTGCCCCCCCCTGCTCCT